CACACACACACAGGCACACGCACACACAGGCACACACACGCACACACACACAGGCACACATACACGCACACACACACACACACCTGGCTCACATCCCAGGCAGCCCAACGTTGGCTGAGCCACGGGCGATCCGGAGGTTCACGCACCGGATGGAGCCGCTGAACAGGATGGGGTCCTGGAGGATGATGGAGAGGCGCGAGCGCAGCGTGTGCAGCGGCAGCCTGGAGATGTCGATGCCGTCGATCACGATCTTCCCTGGGGGGAGAGAGGAGTCGCAGGCCTGCCACGGGCACGCGTGTGTGTGTGTGTGTGTGTGTGTGTGTGTGCGCACGCGCCGGTCCTGGGGCCTGAACCCAGCGCCTGGTGTCGGCCCTGAAGCTTGTGGTCTTTTTTTTTTCCTTCAATTTTTCGTCTTCAAGGCTGGCGCTCGACCGCCTGAGCCACGCCTCCCTGTGCAGCTTTGGGGTTCACAAGGGAAAACCGGCCCCTGGCCACCTCTCCCTCACGCAGGGGAGCGGGAAGCTCCCCCTCTCCCCGAATAACTCCCTGCCGCTCTCCAGGGAGGAGATTCTTGAGAAGATTCAGAACCATGGGCCCAGTTAGCCGGTTGTTTTTCTTTCTTTTTTTCTCAGCGTTTAAGTCATTTACACTTTAGTGTGAATGAGTTGTTTTGTCCTGGTCGTGGGGTTTGAACTCAGGGCCTGGGCACTGTCCCTGAGCTTTTTTAATCTATATAATTTGAGGCTAGCCATAAGCTCCACATCCGGCTTTTTTGGTGGTTCATTGAAGAAGAGATTTTTCAAGGATTTTTTTTTTTCCTGCCCGGGCTGGCTTTGAACTCGGCACCTCCGATCTCAGCCTCCTGAGTAGCTGGGATGACAGGCGTGAGCCACCAACCAACACCAGGCTCATTCACCTTGAGGTACCTGTGGCTCCTGCCTGTCATCCCAGCTACTCGGGAGGCTGAGATCTGAGGATCGTGGTTCGAGGCCAGGCCAGACAGGAAAGTCTGTGAGACTCTGATCTCCAATGAACCACCAGAAAATCAGAAGTGGCGCTGTGGCTCAAGTGGTAGAGCGCCAGCCTTGAGTAAAAGAAGCTCCCCGTCCCTGAGCTCGAGCCCCAGGATCACCACAAAAAATAAAATACACATGAGCGTTGATGGAGGCTGTGGAGGGGAGAATGGAGTTTACCACTCACCGTCAAATATATCAACCATTCTGAAGAAGGCCAGGGATAAAGACGATTTCCCACTGCCCGTGCGGCCGCAGATGCCCACCTGAAACCAAGCAACCAGCACTCAGAGAGAGGAAGACAGGAACAAAAGACAGAAGAGACCGCCGAGCGTTAGATAACACAGTGGGCTGGAGGCGCAATTCTGGCTGTGAGGAGCTCTGGTGCTTTATCATTTTGAAGCCAGGCGCCGGTGGCTCCCGCCTGTCATCCCAGCGACTCGGGAGGCTGAGATCTGAGGATTGTGGTTCAAGGCCAGCCCAGGCAGGAAAGTCCATGAGACTCTGATCTCCCGTGAACCACCAGAAAACCAGAAGTGGTGCTGTGGCTCAAGTGGTAGAGCACCAGCCTTGAGAAAAAGAGCTCAGGGACAGCGCCCAGGCCCTGAGTTCAAACCCCCCAACCACAATAAAAATATTATCATTATGAAACGAAAAATCATGAAATCCTCAGCAGATGCTCAAGGACTAAATCCTGAATCTTTTCATTTTCACGATCTATTCTGTCTGTCTTCTGGGCTTATTTTTGGCTCAGTATACAGTTAGACCAAAGAACAAGCGTTCAATTTTCTTTTCTTAGAAATGATTGGTTTATAAGAGAGAAAAAGTCCACTTTTTTCCTTCTTTTTTTTTTTT